AGCCCTGATACCCAAAAGGTATTCTCATCCAGGATAGTCTGCAGTTTCGAATTCGCATAAGCCTCATCAGCATCCCTAGCGGAACTCTAGCCACGACAGTGCAGCGTATACTCTCGACAACTTAACGACTACGCCACACTGCCACCAGTACTCTTAGGTCACATGGCAAATGTGAATTTCAAGAAAGGCCAGGCATTTACCTATATCACATTGTGTAGTGGGATTGCTATAGCAATCGACCACTACTTATTACTCATTTCTAAGTTGGGTTTTGATTTACTGGCAGTTTCGTAACCCTACTTACAAACGAGATTTCTGTGCGAAGGTAAAGCCAATTCAATAATATATAACAAGATTCATCCTTACATTCAGAAAAAAAGCTGATTAAGAGGCTAGATAACATTGGTAATCGATGAGAAGAGTTGTTGTGGTTACTTCCATTTAGAGGAAAAGTGTTTGGTGAAGAGATTCGAAGGTTGATTTCACCAGAAGACGACAACGGATTCCTTTTGAACAGCTGTCGATTTACTTTACTGGAACATCCACGCTGTTTCCGAGGTAATCTCCTTCGATTTCGGTGATAAGGTGCTAAGCTTTCGTCCCTCATATGACGAACATCATGAGAGCAAGATAGCATCATCACAAACAAATTCAAGCTAACGAGTCAAGAAAACTCACCGACAAATCCCTAAAAAACGCTATATATGCTTTACCAGGTATAAAGTGATTTGATTAATTACGGTCATATGTCAACCTCGAAGCCTGTGAGTGTGTCTCTTTATGTATGTATATGTGCCTGTTTGCGTTCGCTTATGCACGAAACCGGCAGTGATGGCTCAAAGTAATTAGGACAGCAAACTGTAACGTCTGCTTTTGGTCATCAAGGTTCGATGACCCCTATCTCCGCCTTTCTACATACATGTTATAACCATCACATTGATTGCGCAAGGTCAGACACACGTCTGGTTTTGTTGATGCGCCTATTTTTTGTTTGGAGTTTCAATGAGAGAGAGAATAAGTGAGCTAAAAGTGCAGAGAAGTGACTCTGATTAGAATCAAGACAAGAAAAGACTATTTTCGTATTTTAAAGTGGAATTACGAGACTATCAGTTAATCAGTAAATGTATTCACCCAATTTCGTTTAAGGTGATGAAGGACTGGTAGTAGAATTTTCCCACAATGATATGAGTAACACTGACGTTTCCATTAAATTTCGCAAAGGCTTGCCTTCCCAAAAGTTGTTCTTATCCAGGGTGGACTGCAGTTTTGACCTCGCATCGTTCTTATCAACACTCCCAGTAGGAGTCGAACCGTGACAGTGGAGAATGGGAGCTTTACACGTTAACCACTCGTCCACATTGCCATGAGCGTCCTCGGGTCACAGGGAAAATGTGATTTTCAAGGAAGCAAGTGCCGCATCGGCACTCGTGGCAATGTGGACGATTGGCTAACAAATCAAGCTCCCATTCTGCGCTGTCACGGTTCGACTCCCGCTGGGGGTGTCAGTAAGACCGATGCGAGGTCGAAACTGCGGTCCGTTATGGATAAGAACAATTTTTTGGAAGACAAGGCTATATTAAATTCAATGGAAATGTCAGTGTTACTCATATCATTGTGGGAAAATTCTACTACCAATCCTCCATCACCTTAAACGAAATTTGGTGAATACATATCATATTAAGAAAAAACTAGTTGCGTCGCCTCTTTTTTGCATGCGACTCAACTCCCTATCTATCCTTGAGCACAAGTAATTTTTACTTATTTTCTTATCAGTATTCCTTACATTCAATATACCTCCTATTCGGTTCATTTCGATGGCTTCTCTAATTTTACATTTAGCCGCAAAAATGCCATAATCAGCAAAACGAGAAGTTTAAGACCATCCAATCTTGTGTCCCGTTTCTGCCCTGTGCTCAGCTCGCTCCGACTTTTGAACCCAATAGCCTTTGCCTATTTAAATGTGGTGTGATGTACCCTTTTGAGCGACTGTCATGATAACTATCCACACTCCACCCTGGCGTTCGCATACCCCTTCACCCCTGTGTTGGTAATATGGATCAGTCTGCCATATCGCTACGCGGTCCTTCTCTAGGTCTTATCACAGTCTCTCTCTTGCCCCTTAAGATCCGTCTGCTCTACCTCTTGTTCACCTATTTCACTCGACCCCTGCAACCCCATCTCCACTATTCGGGGGGTTATGTCCCGCACTCTGAATCTGTGATACTAATTGAGGCTGAACCCCTTAGTCAAGCCTATGGTAAAACAAGCCTACGACCAGCCAACTAGCTCTAGTCACTGGCGCGTTTATACCGTTTCTAGCCTTAATAGCAAGTCTTTGATTTGCTATGCCCGCAAATGTTGTGGTACTGCTTTCTTTGGTTAGGTGTAAGGTTTAACTACAACATTTGTCGTTTGGCCCACAAGAGATTAGAGGATATGAAGTCATAGACTTTGAATTAAGGATATA